ATACAGTCAACAGCCACCATATAGACATAAATGTATGAAATTTGAGTATTATATGATTATGTGATTTAGACACACCCAATTGAAGTAAACTATGTATATATAGGTAAGTAGGTACCTACCGATTTACTTATAAATAATTATGAGTCAAAAAAGGGTATTCACCTCATTAGCTTTTTTTATCATAGTTCAAATGAGACACACCAATAAAGGGGGAATGTTACGAGTTTCAGTGAACACTGAAAACTATTTACTTATTTTTTTATTATAGATTTGAAGCCTGTAATAGGACCCATCGTTCCGCAAGACTTAAACATATCCAAATTATTCGTAACCAGTGTCGACCTGACCACACTAAAAACGCAACATGGATCCTTAATTAGGTCCAAAAACTATCGGGACGTCTCTGGGTCCCGAAAAATTACGTTCGGCTTAATATTTACAGAAATACTTAGGGAGTACCTACATAGACCTGCAGAAACACGCCAAGCAAATAAAAACTTACAAGACCTTAAAAAAAATATCTAGTGGCCCAGCGGCTATGATGGCCAGGCCGACATTGATTAAAACTTAATGATATTTACCACCTCCCCGAAGATCACTAGAACAATCTTACCYCCCGGCAAAGTATTGAAAAGAAGGTTATTAAACATATATTTCGTTTCTATGTAAAACCATTTACTATGTTTAACGCCATCATATTAAAACGGTTTGAAATTTTTAAACTATACATATAGTGCGAGCGTTTTAACTTTTAAAATGGTTTAAAAAATGTAAATCGTTTTTAACGCCATCATATAAACGTAGTTGATTTAACGATAGTTTGGTGAAGATTTATTTTTACGAATAATTTAATACCTATATCTAATCATAAATCTCTACAACTTTTTATGTATAACCAATAATTATAAATAGTATAGTGGCACAACTAAAAAATAATTTCAGGGAGATTACATTGTCTCAACATATATATTATATATACATTAGAGATAATACGGGGACTGCCAAAAACGAGGTGAAAAAAACAAGATTTCTAGGGTTTGGGGGTTAAATTAATAAAAAGTACTTAAATTGATGTTCAAGATACATTTTTAAAACGTTTAGATTTTCTAAATAATGAGTGTCTTATATTCTTGTGAATTATAATAAATAGATCATYCCGTATATAGCCATATACCTATATAAGTACACACATACGATACACTAAATACCACTTCACTAATCCTCTAATTATATAAACCATTAGAAAAATGCAATAACGACATTGTTGTTGTTTGACCGTGTTGTGCACAGAACAAAAGAAAAAAACGACAATTCCTATGATTTATAAAATGACTTGAATAAAACAAAAGCGAAAAGTCGCAGCGGTAGTCGAGGAATTTATTATTTAAATAGGTTCTACACGCGGACACAATAAATTGTAATACATAATAATTGTCGTTGACTATAATAGAGCCGTATTGTCGCATGGACAGATCGACGGGCAAAGGTGAATAATAATAAATCAACAATGGTCGACCTTAGGACAAATAATATATTATACATTGTATCAAAACATCAGATGATGGAATGGGGGAAAACGATAATTTATTATTATTTTGTTCTGCGTGATTATGCCATTATGGTCGCAACATTCGTAGCACGCCACACGGTCGTAAAGTTGTGCCCTTGTGTGGTCCACACGTATCGTCACCACAGTCCACAGTCAGTGGTCCACGCATAGATATAGTTCACGTCCAGCTTATCAATTTCGTACCTACGGGCTACAGTTAATATTAAACCGCAGTCCAACACGCACGCGCATCAGTAAGACCAGTAAGTACCGCTGTACCGCAGTTGCAGTATCCTTCTCTCGTCCGCGGACATTCGCCGATCGCTGATAACACGCTTTGAATTTCTGATTAGGAAAAACCAAAAACCAAAACGTCTCGAGTAACTTACCAAGTGTTCCCGACCGTGCAACGACGGGCGACGTTAATAATTCATTATTACATTGCTAAACAGTGAACACTCGATCGACCGCAGTCTTCCACAATATTCCTATTCCATCACCGTGCAATTTTAATAGTCGCCCACACTGTCCCTGAATACGCGACGGAAATACAATAATAGATCGACCGAAAATGGTGGTGAAAGTGTACATGTCCGGCATATCGGGTAACAAGGAGGTAAGTCGCGCGCGCGGACACCACCGACGTCGGATGGACGTCTACTCGATGTCTGTTTGGTCATTTTGGTGTCTCACATGATATGCGGTTGCAGGTGAAGAAACGCCAACAGAGGGTCACCATGATATTGGATAGCAAGAGCATATCATACGACCTGGTGGACATCACTGAACCAGGGAAGGAAGACGAAAAGGCTTACATGCAGATCAACAGTAAGACCAAGGATGGTTCAAAAAATGCTCTGCCGCCCCAGATATTCAATGATGATGTTTATTGCGGGGTTAGTATGATTATGYCAGATACGTGTATGTATCATTTTAAACTATCTCATCTAATACTATTTGTGCCGATTGGAATATCAGTATATTTAAATAGTTATTGACCATAAAAGCTTGACTCGATAAATACTAATTAATWCTAAAGCCTCTTGGTTTGCTTACTAAAAGCTTGATAGTAACAAATTCTGGAAGAGAAATCATTATTTACCATATTAGGAAATGTCTAGTTTTGTTTTCTAAATAAAAATGCCTGTCTTGTCATGTTTAAATTCWTTGAACCATATAGGTGCTTACATTTATACTTCTTATGTTTCTAAAATTTCTCTTAGAAATAAACCCAAGACATTGGTTGAAAATTA